AAAGTATCAATCACTTTCAACATCACTTTCACTTATTTTTTATGTACATAGCAATCATACCTTTGTTATGGAAGTATTTGCTTCATCGTTTCTTCCTCGTGTCTATGTAGAACCTGCGCCCCTACACAATGAAACCAGACATAAAAATATCAAAAGTTTTTGTACAGAGCAACATGATTTCACAATCAGAAGTTCCAATCACTCACCACAATACGAATTTACTCTTGGTATTAAACTTCAAATGTGAAGACGAAATATTTACCAAATTCAGTCCTTAGATGAAAATTTCTATTTATCATAATGTAATCTTCTAAACCACAGTCCAAATGCATGCTTTTTTCCGTCTTTGTCCTGCGGATCAGCTTCGAAATGACATTGTTCCCATAAATGTGGTTCACTAGATCTTCTGAATGAGTGACAACCTCTCCATAAAATGATTGGAAGCTTGTTAAAGGAGCACGGTTACAAACAGCTTCGGCTATAAAGTGACCATACTTGCTCCTAGCTATGTAGAGGTAATGCCCTTCGAATTCCTCTACAAGAGACGCAACAACTCCCTTATCCGGATAAGTGAACTTTTGTACGAAAAAGCTCCTGCTAAAAGAGAGTGAAAGAAAATTATGTGTTAGATGATCATACCTTGAAGCAAAAAATTCACAATTTGAACAACAAATCAGTCCTTAGAAGTTGAGTTCTATTTCTCAGAATGTAACCTTGTAGACCAGCATCCAAAGGCATGTTTTTTTCTTTCTTGGTCGCAATGTATGTGGCAGAATATAGTACCTTTGAAGCAAAAACGAACAAAGGTTTTTCAAGCCAAGATGATGACTTGAAGAAATATGTTGCACTTGCTGCGTCATCTCAAGCAGTAGAGGCTACATCAAAGAATGTCAAAAACAAGTTAAAGACAGTGCAAATAATGTTCACATAACTATTCAAGACTTCGTTTGATTAAGAGATGGTTGATCGTAATTTTTGTTTTTAATTATTTTAATTATCCACTATGTATATAGATATTTTTGTTTCAGAGTAAACTAAACAACGATAAAAAAAAACAAATTTGTGAAGTCGGACAGGAGAAGATGAAAAAAGATTACACCAAACCGACTGAAATTTATTGACTTTATTTACAACTTTTATAAGAAATTTGACCATATTGTCTTAATTAGTAAAACGATAATAGCAGTTGTAATTTTCTATTTTTCAGATAAATCTATTAGTGATTGGTGATTTATGAGAAGAATTTTATTTTATCTCATTTCTTTTGGGTCCACCCAAAAAAGTATTTTTTTGGACCACTTTTGCCCTTTTTTTGAGGAAATTTTCCAGCTAAAAGATTTTTTCTCTACAAATAAAAGATTGTTTGATAAAACAAGTACTAGTAGAATTTGGAATAAATTGTTTCTTCTAATGTCTCTACCTGTTAGTACTAGTAAAACTACATCATTTTTTAACC